CCCAACCAGAGTTAAAAGATTGCTTCTGCTGGGGATTTAGCTCAGTGGTTCTGGTGCCTGCCTTGCAAGCCCAAGGTCCCGAGTTCGATCCCCGGTACCAAAAAAAAAAAAAAAAGATTGCTTCCACCCTTTAGGCTTAATGGTACTTTTGGCTATCAACATTAAACTGTTAGGTATTAAAGATTTTTAAAATTATCTATCAATTTCACTATTAATTAAACAAATTTTTGTGAAATTCCTCTAGTGCCTGTTATTGAATGATTACCACGTGCCAAGCAGTTGATTGCCATAAAAATATGTCTTAATAAAAGATCCTCTGAGATTTATAATTTTTCCCAGTTTCCTTGATTCATAGGAGTAAATCAGGGTCAAGGTGGTCTGTGACTGTCAATGTCCATTCAACATGCAGCAGTCAGCACCTGTGTGCTTGTGCATAAGACATGTTCTCTGTTCTTGCACCATCTGTAACTTCATTGTGTTTATATTTGCATAAAAGTATGAGTGATATGTTTCTATGGGAATAAAACAGAAGGAAGTGATTAATCCTGCCTGTATGTAGTCTACAAAATAGACAGGGACATTTGAGCTGGGTCTTGATGAATGAGTAGGAGTTTCCCATGTGGATATGGTGCAGAAGGAATCTGAGGTTTAACTGAGTAGTGCATGACTTTTGCATGAGATGAAGCTACTGGATCCCTTGACTCTCCCTTCTCATTTCTTAGATGGATGACCAAAGAGAAGTATATTGGTATTCAGTTAGGTGCTTTCATTTCCAAAGAACAGAAAACTTAATGCAAACTGGTTTAAATAATAAAAAGATTGATTGTCTCATCCAATTGAAAAGCACAGAATTAGGGCTGAAATAAAATAAAACTTGATCCATTGGCTCAACAGTGTAACCAAGAACCTGGTTTCATTTTGTCTTTCTGTTCTGTCTTATGCTATGGATTCTTCATCAGAGGCTGGCTCCTTTTAGGGCCCTAAGATGACTAATGGAGCTCTTGGTGTTATATACTTCCTCTGTCATGCCTAAGAGGAAGGATGTAATGTCTTTGTGCCAGCAAAAGATCTGAAAGTTACTCTGGTTGGACTGGCTTGGGTCACATGCTCATGCCTGAGCCAATCATTGTTGTCACAGAACAGAGAACAGTGATGGAATCAGTTCCCTGGAAATTTATGGATCCCTAAATGGAATTTTGGGGACTGATGGCAGGAGGAAGTGGATGGTGGATTCTGGGAAGCCATCCATTGATGGGAAGGCATTACAGCACCATGGCTGTTGAGGGCAGTAGGGTATCTGGACCTTTAATTGTCAAGTTGATTGGACTGGAAGCTGCCCAGGAGGATTAGTGGAGCACACTTTTTGGTGTGTCTGGATGAATCATGGAGGTATGACTTTGGGGTCCATATCGGGTCCCTGGGTCCTTCCTCTCAGACACTGTTCCCCTGCTCTGTTTCCCAGCTGTCATGAACTGAATGTCTTTGCTCTGCCACACCCTTCTGCATGATGTTTCTGCCTTGGAGCCAGCTGATCATGGACTGAACCCCCTCAAATTGTGAGCCAAATTAGACCTCTTTGACTTTGAGTTATGGGTGTTGGGTGCTGTGTCCCAGCAACAGGAAAATTACTAATACAATAGTATATACTTCTGGAACATACCCATTGATGCTTGGTCTGTGGAACTTCAGACTCTGAGCTTCACCATAGGTAGTCCAGCCATTGAACTCCTCCTTTTTCTTTGTAGTCTCTTCCTAGTTTGTCCTCTGGAGAAACTTGCTTTGTCCTGAGATAACCACTCTTTTTTAGCACGTGATAAATTTATGGACAGTGTGCTCTGGGCATGATGGCATAAGAATCACAGAGAAAGATCTAGAATTTTATGCCAACTAATATCTTAGGACCCTTTCAGAACTGCTTGCTTCAAAGAGGGCAGCAGGTGTAACGCAGCATTTTTGAAGTCTCTTCCCAGCCTCCACAGGCAGCAGTAGACTCCCCACTTCCTGCTAATGTAGCCATGTTCATTTTTACTCACAAAAAAGGGCTTTGCACAGTGCCTTGCACTGATGAAACGAAGAAGTAACCCAAGGCCATGAGCTAGGGTGACACATTGTGTATGGATTATACATGGAGGCAGGCCTGAGTTTCAGGTTGGAACACTGCAGTACATCACATGGGCAAAGAGTATACTTTGTAACCCTACTGCTGAGTCTACATTCTGGCCGCCTTACTGTTTCTGAGCTGGGCCTGGGCTCCTGCCCTGGTTTTACCATATACCAGGCCTAGGTCTAAGTCTAGGCTTTGATTCAGAGGATTGTTTTCTGATGTTTCCTCTTGTCCTTTGGCTTCCGGTTCATTTGGGAGGGTGGTGGCCATTACCTTTAGCCTCACTTGTTTAATTTGTAAAGCTTAGGTACAAGTTATACCCACATCTTTTTTTTTTCATGCCAATAAAGAGAACTGTTTATTACTGATAACATTTCATTTGACTAAAACCACAAGAAATCCACATACAAATACATAAAGTGCAAATTCTCAGAGGCAGTAGTTTATAATTCACTCTGGTATTTTTGTAGGGAAAAAAAGGAATGTTGACAAAAACTGTTGAAATGGGGGTATAATTTTGAACTACTGCTACACACTTAGAAAAATAATTCATTCTTACCTGTATACATTTGGTTTGTCATATTTAATGATGTATAATAAGAGTTTATTTTAGCCTGTAACAGGAAGGCCTCATCATATATAAAAGCAGACTTTTGGTTTTTTAATATAAAGTGAGTCACACGATGAATCATAATATTGGGAAAAAACAGAGCAAATAGTATCAAATTAGTTGTAACTCACTTAGAAGGTACTATTAGTAAGCTCAAAATCACACTTAGACTAGATATCAAATCTACACAGATATTTTCTTAGCCTTTCTGGCCAGCAGCTTGCTTTGAATGTAAAATACTGGGAATTATATACAATTTCCATGTAGAAAGATGCTGTACTCTCCCCACAGAAACTGAGTATTGTATCACCTATGAATTTCAGTAACGAGAGTCATGTAAAAAAAAACTGAATTAGAAAAATTAATTTTTTAATTTTAAAAGGCTATTTGCTTCTTTAAAATAAAATCCTTTAATTCCTATTAAAACAAATTAAGCAGTCTGTAACAGGTACTAAATTAGGTATATGGATATGAAAAATTACAAATCATGCTTCTTGCTCTCAGGGAGCTGACACACAAATGGGCACTCTTCTCTCTCTCTTTTTCTTTTAGGTGGCAGGGAATGATGAGTGCTCCTTCTTAGTAAAGGAATGTCAGTAAGTTAAAGAGAACAAATTGGCCAACATCTCAGACTGTATAAGAAGGTTCAACAGTAACGTAACTGTTTCAAGTCACCTTAACTTAATATTAGTAATTTAGAAGGGCAGTTTCTAAAGTGCAGGGAATACCCTCCATATATTCTGTGCTCATCTTTCTCATCCTGGGGTCAGTGTGTGTACCCCCAGGGATATGCAGCAATTGAGCATGCAGATGTTAGGAGAGAACACTGAGAGGCCACATGATAAACACAGTGCTCCTTTCTGGCAGCACCAGTTTCAGTGAAGATTGAAGATATCGTTTCTATATTAGAAGTTCTATTAAGGTGAATGCAAAATTTACTTACAATATAAAGTCTGAACACAAAATTTCCTGTCAATGGCAGGCTGCTTCTGATTTTGCTCTCAGACCTCCTTCCCCTTCATGCTCCTCTGCTTTATATATCCACATCTTATAGTGGGTTATTGGGTTAACTATTAATGATATTAATAATTATGTATGTACTGATTTAACACAGACATACATATGTGTATTATATGGAAAACATTTGGAGCAGTATCTAATAAGCACTACTGCTGTGAATAACAGATATGTCTTGTAGGTTTATCATAAGCCTAGAGACATTGCATATATACTATCTGGCATATAGTAGACACTTGAGAAATGTTAGCTATTATTAATAATAATTATGTAAATTGAACTGCTTAATAATAATGGGATCCTTCTGAATTGATCTATATGGTTTCTGGAGTGTTCGTTGCCAGTACTGTCCCTGTTGAACCTCACTGCTCTTTGTGATGGGGTCTTCCTTTTGTCCAGGGATTTCAGGGAAGGGCTGTATGTCTTCTAGGGTCCTATGGACAGGTGGTCATTGTCAGAACCAGGGCCTAAAGCAGTGGTGAGGAGCTGTCCAGGGCTGGTTCCACCCCTGCTCTTCCCCTATTCTGGAGGCTTCCCAGCTATTTGTCATAGCCTTGTTTGAAATGCATGTGGTTCTCATCCTTAATATCCTGATTGCCCCATTAATCTCCTTTAAGCTTCATGAAAAATACAAAGGGCTGGATTACAAATAGTCACCAAGTTCTAATTTTGTATTCAGGGGATTGTTTTCTGTGGACGTGAAGAGACTGATGCTTCCCAGTGTGGCAATTGGCTTTCCACCTTAGTCAGGGGAGCTGTAGCTTCCTGAATTCCCAACCAATTTACAAGGTTGCATCTGTATTTTGCCTCTGATATGTCTGTACCTTTTGTTGCTTCTCTCTCTCTTCATGTATTCTTCTTCCAAATGGTGTTCTACAGTAGTGCCCAGAGTGGGTACAAGGAAATTTCTTTTGTTAAGACCATAGCGCAGCAAGAAACCGAGAACTTACCTGGCATTCCTGAGACCCTGTCCACAGAACAGTGTTCACCCGGAAAGAGCAGTATTTGTTTTGTGAGCACAAATGCACACCCACACACAACACACACACACACCCCCACACACTCATCATCGTCATCATCATCATCATCATCACCATCATCATCATCATTATCATCATTCTCACCATTCTCCACAGTCCTGAAATTTAGGCTTAGTTCACTCTTTAATATGGTAGCCACTAGTTACATGTTATTCTTTTTTTTTTTTTTTTGGTACCGGGGATCGAACTTGGGTCCTTGAGGTTGTTCAGCAGGTGGTGAAACCACTGAGCTAAATCCCCGGCCCTTCACATGTTATTCTTTAAATGAAATTCCAAGTTCATCTCCTCAGGTGGACTGGCCACACTTCAAGTACTCAATAGCTACGTGTGATTAATGGCTGCCATTTTGGAAAGCAGAGGCAGAGAACATTTCCAGCAACACTTTGCATGAAAGAGAGGGGAGGGGCAATTGACATGCAGTATCACAGACCATCAACTAAATGTCCAAGCTCTCTGCTTATATTTCCCCTGCTATTTCCAAAGGACCCTTATCCCAGGAGACAGGAGAGACTATTGTTTCTTTATCTAGTGTCAGGATTCATTGATGATAGGATTTTTCCATCTTTCAGAGGCATGTCTATGCATGTTTTGTTCCTGAACCTGAATCTGCACTTGGGCAACATACTATATATTTTTCTACCCTTTGGTAACTGGTGTGGGTGTGGCCAGAGTCACTGTAGGAGAACTTTGTGTTAAAGAGAGTTCCAGAAAACTATGCAGCACATCACCTGCCAAGTTAGTACTGGTCAAACACTTTCAAATGTTCCTGTCTAATCTGAACGTTTAAGTTTATTTACTGTAGATCCTGTGGTGGACCAGTCTACTTTGGATAACACCCTTGAGTAATTCATCTTCAAAAAGCATACATTAGAAATGCTTGGAAGAACAGATTTGCTTTGGTTAATACTAGGATGCTGTTTGTTGCTGTTTAATTATGAAATACTAATAGATTACTCCATGGCAAGAGATCAGAAGAGATGAATGTCTCTGCATGAATATTGCAAAAACCCCACGGATTTCTTGGGGACTCTCTGGATTGAGTTTTGAGAGTGACTCATTAAGCCAGTTTGCAGAGTTCGGTGCATATACTCAGATGCGGGCTCTGGATTCTTCCATCCTTGAGGGGAGGGAAAAGCAGAGGATGGCACTGGCTGTCTGGACTAACAAAGAGAGTGGAGTACCACTCCCTGAGATTGGAGATGGTGTGACAGAGCACGGTGCAGGCAAGGGCTGCCCTGCCCAGCTGGCTTATACAGTGGTCCTTGGAGCCTCTGGTGAGTAACCAGGTTCCAGGTCACTTTGTCCCAAGTCATCTGTGGCCAGCTTACCACATCGGCTAGAGTCTGGCAGAGAAGATTCTGTTGATTTTTCCAGAGGCCAGAATCTCAGCACAAGAAGGCAATCTTCCTCAAATATCCTAGTACTTTTGAGTTCATTGTGGCACCCTGGCACAATTTCAGCCCATGTCAGGGGTCATCTTTTGGTGCCCTTTGACCTTTAATCCTTTCAGAGTTGACTGGTGTCATAAAGCTGAGAATTTGTTCATTATTGTCCCTGAAAAAACTCTTTAATGATTTATAGTACTCTCAACATATCTCAGAAATGAATGGAATAGCTTCTTACATTTTTGCAGCCTTTGGATAGTCTTCCGGAAGCCTTGTCTCAGTGGTTTTCAAATTCTTCTTTGATCCTTCAAAATCTTTGTTCAAGTAACATCTTGGCTAGTCCCCAACATGTAGCGTAGAAAACAGTGCAGCTGGGGGAGCCCAGCCCATTGGACCTCTGCCCCCTCCTTCACAGCCCTCCTCTGGCAGCTGAGTCAGCCTCTGAGTCACCAATGAGCAATCCTTGTCCAGAGCATCACCCATTCACCAGGTGTGATGGTGACGTCATCACAGTGACTGGGGACTGCACCTTGGGTAAGGGAGGCCACTGAAGAGGAGAGAACATCCCCCACACTGCCATGCCTGGTCCAGCAATCTGTACTGGCAGGGTATAGGGGAAGAGACTCACCCAAGGTTACCAATGGGTAAGGATTAGAATCTTCGTAGGACTTTTCTTGAATGGAGCATATTTCTCAATAAACTTGAATTTTTCATTTTACTAAGGTTTCCTAGGTAGAATTAGAATTACCTAGTACCGATCTGTCTGTGCAGCTTGATCTAGAATGTGGCTGTGTGCACCTCAGGAATGTGGCTCAGAAGACGTCCAGGCTCCTCCAGCTTCTCTTGCTCTGCAAACTCAGTTGAGAACCCCTGGAAGCCTCTGATTCAGTCTACACGCAGGGCTCGAGGTCCATCCTGTTCACTCAACCTCTCCTGCCATGGCAGAACTAGTGTCCACAGACACATTTGGCTCCTGAACAAGGATGCACATTTGCTCTTTGAACACTCATTTGCTCTTGACTTTGTGTCATGTGCCAGATGCCTCAGTATTTGTGCCTGTGAAATGGGCATATACATCATTTATGTAAGGCTCATGGGAAGATTAAAGCTCCTAAAAAGAAATAAAGCTGGGCAACAGCAAATTTTCCCAAATAAATGTGGATCTTAGACCCAGAGAGTTAGAACAGCTTGCTTTTCATCTCAGAGGCAACTATCCCCATGCTCCATAAAATGCCATCCCTGAAACCAAGGAAACCAGGGCCTGGCCCATGGCCTACCTTTGCTAATGCTTTTCAAATTGACTCTCCGTGCAAGAGTCACTGATTGTTTTCTTATAAAGTCAGAGTCCATTTTCTAACCTGGATTTCCCTGACGATCATCCAGTGAGTTGGAGCAACTTGCTGAGCCACAGAATTACCATCTCCACTACAGAGAGGGGGCGATAGGCCCCTTTGGATGGGGGAGCATCTTAGACCATTCAAACTGCTATAACATGAATGATAGAAACTCATTCCTCATGCTTCTGGAGGCTGAAAGTTCAGTGCTGACAAGTTCCATGTCTGGTGGGGGTTCACTTTCTATTTCATGGGTGACATCTTGCTGTCACCTTACTCCTCCAGGTCTGAAATTATGCTTGTGACCTAATCATCTGCAAAGGCTCCACTTTCTAATCTGACCTCATTGGTGATGATATTTCCACATATGAATTGGGGAAGGAGGAGCCACAAACATTTGGACAATAGCAAGGAGAATTTCAAAGAGTGCATTAAGGAATTGATTGCAGAGCAAAGTAACTCCTCCTAAAAGACCAATCATTTGAAAAGCTGTTCTGGTTTTAGAATTAGCTCCAAGGAATTTAGTGCCAGAGTTTTGATTTTCTCAGAGAGAAAGCAAGAGGGAAAGAGATGTTGCTTTTGTGTGGAATCCAGCATTTTCTTTGCAAGGCCAGCAATGCAAGGATGTTCCCCAAAGCATAGTGGCAGCCTATCCTAAGAACGGAAGCACTTAATTTTGTCTAATTGTGGCAATTTCTAGGAGTCATTAGGAAATTCAGCAGCTAATGAACATGGCCCTCTTCTGTCAAATCCCAATTGGAATATTCAACCTTCTCTTTTGTGTACTTATCAGCTAAGGGAATTATAGAAATATATTTCCGGAGCCTGTTGGCAATAAGAGCAAAGAAATAAAAACTTCCTTTTCTCCCCCACAGGATGGATCCCATCAGTCCTAGTGGATGGCTTACCTGTGATCAAAGGGCTATTGATTCCCAGCAGGTTCTAACCTGGGTTTCCACTTCCCAGGATTGTGCTATGCTGACCTCCTTTCCTTGGTCCCACCTCTTGCTGAGACCCTGGTAGGCATCCATTCAGCATATGGCCATGGCTGTTGAAGTCTTTAGGTGAATGTACTTCTGATCTGGACCAGAGGACAGAAGACAAAGGATAGGGGAACATAACTGTTCACTTTTCTCCTCTCTCTTCTGTTTACCTTGTGTTTAATGCTTCTGAGCACTGATGGGAAGTTATTCTCTCTAAAGGGCTCAGGTATGCTCCTTCTCAAATCATATTTTTGGGCATACTGGTGACCCTCAAAGATTGGGGAAGGCTCCATGCTCTTTCAGCCTCTTGACAGTTTCTATTCAAGTTGAAGACTCAGAGTTAAGGACCAGCTTGCTAGTTTATTCCAGGGGTTTCCAGTGACTAGACTGGTGTGCTCCTTAGCACAGTTTCTGAAATATAATACCTTCTATGTGTGTTAGCTATTATTAGTAGTAATCCTATCAGTTATTATTTGCTGAAAGTTTTTAACAACATGCCAAGTGTTGTTATTGTCTCCTTCATGTCATAGAGCACAAGATGGTATAAGAATCCTATCTTGGATGAAAGATCACAAAGCAACAGTGGGGTTTTTTTTGTTTTTTGTTTTTAATCCTTCCAACAGTCTTCAGAGGAAGATGCAATTGGCCAGATTTGCAGAGGAGGAGGGTGAAGCTGGCCTGGGCAATGAAGGGATCAGCCGAGTCTCCCAACACATATGAGACCCAGACCCATGGCTGCTGGCTGCAAGCCCACTGTCCCCAAGCATCTTTGTAGAGCTACCCATGACTCGGCTCCTGATGGGCCCCAAAGATATGAACTTCATCTTAGCTCTCGTAGGAGGCACGTTCCACATTGATCTTCCTTTTGTAGTAAAGGGAGAGTTGAGTCCAAATCCTAATTCTACTCCTCCCTAGCCTTTGTGCAGGTCCCTTCACTTCTCTGATCTCCACTCTTTTGTGTTGTAAAATAGTGATAGCAGTACCTACCTACTTCTCTGAGCACACTGAGCTGAAGGATATCACATATGCAAATTCAAGTAAGTGCAAAGCTTGGCATATGATGAATGCTCCATGAGTCTTCACCCACAACAGCAGTGTGTCAGGCTTCATGCTAGGGTGCTTTCCAGGTGTGATCTCATGCAACCCTCATACCACTGCCAGGAGGTGGGTACTCTTCAATTTTCAGATGGAGAGACCGAAGCTCTCCGGGATTAAATGACTTGGTCAAGGTCATAAAGCCATAGACTGTGACACTGAGATTCAATCCCTAGCAACTTGACTCCATGGAAACATCCTTTGCCTTCCTCTTCTTTAGAGCCACATACTAGATGCATGCAGAATTCATACATGGGCACTTTCCATGGTGAGCAGGACCCTTGTCAATGAATTTCCAATCATTTCTGTGCTGGGCAGTGCTGTTGTGTGGGCTTGAGGACAATGTTTTTCATTCCAGAAAATACAGCAGAAATTGATTTCAGTTTTGCCAGGAGGCTGCACCAACTGCACTGTTGGGCCCAGTACTTCACAGATGACAACCCGTCCCTAGGTGCGAGCTTGAGCAGGCAAGGTCTGCCCACACAGAGGACTCCATGCCCCCAGTGAGTGAGTCTGTTTATCTATTTAACAGTCAAGGTGACTGAGCGGACACTTTCCTGTGAGACAAACTGAAGAGGTGCCCAGCCAGTTTTGGGCATTACAGGACCCTGCAAGAGCACACCTGAATGCGTTTCTAATCTGCATTCTCCATGTTAACTCTAGTGAACAACTTCAAAACTGCACTTGCCCTTCCTTCTGAGAAACAAGAAGCAAAACAAATGACCTGAGGTACCAGCTGTGAGACACTTGTATAAGAGGGAGAGGAGGAAAAGGAGAGTCCAAGATTATCAACATGCTTTCCTTACTAGGTTGACTTTCAGGGTCAAGGGTAAGAGCTAAGGGGGGTGGCTCTTAAAGGGTAGTGATTTGGATGTGATGAGCAGTTGAAATGTTTTTGTTTCCCAGTCATGAAACCACACCTGGTTTGTATGATTGGGTTTTAAATTGCTCAGTGGAACATCGCTTGGTTCAGTGGAACATCGCTTGGCCTGAATCTGTGAAGCCCCACGGCTCAGTAAGCATGGTTGCTGCAGCACTCTTCATTTCAAGGTTGCTCATAGGAGAATAGCAGCCTGCACTGTTCAGGGAAAGCCCTTTCCCCCAATATCCTTGTGTTACCTTCCTGGGCTCAGGGCCCTGGGAAGCGTTCCTGTAGGGGATGGGAATCCGGATCCAAGGTCAGTTGGCATATGAATGTGTCCAAGATTTGGGTGGCCCATGGGCATGGAGCCACGTGCCACCTGGGAGCTGTGGAAGAGCTGAAGGTGGAGCCAAGGTAGGTAGGGAAATGGGGATCCCTCATTCATTCATATAGTCAGAATTTATTGAGCACTGACTAGTATGCCAGGTATTGTTACAGGCATGGGCACAGAGCCATCGCCAATGGGGTCAAGTGGAAACACACAGTCATGTCTCAGATACTGAACTGTGGGAGTAGCCTATTGGAGAGGAGGGAATATTTGATTGGGAGTCTAAGAACTGTGTTGATGATGATCTTTCTATGATTACCTACCTTGGCTCTTCTCCCCTCTGCCAATTCAGTAGGGAAAGTACTTCTTTCCTTCCCTTTCTCCTCTCATAGCATCTATAAGTTGGTACTTTAGGATATTTAGTTCGCCTTTTCCCTTGGGACACAAGCATGAAACCCATCACTTCATTTGTTTGTTTGTCATCCAATTTTAGGACAGGAGAAGGAAGACCAAGGTCTTCTGGATCCTCTAGGTGAGAAATCCCACCTTCTAACTCTGTGATTTATCTTTTCTTTTAAAGATGCTAAATCCATGATTTCAGATCAGGAAGCACACCCTGGCAAAGGTAGAGCCGGATGGCAAGGAGTGTTTCTAAGTGCAGGATGTGTGACAGGTCTCATAGACAGCAAGGCAGATATAAAAGTTCTACCATATGAAGGCTTTAGGGCCATGCCTGGTGCCAGGAGCCTCGGGAGCAAGTGAAGACAAATAGCCCTGGGAAAAAAGGCAGAAACCAAGTCAGCCATCCATTCATGATTCATGCATTCAACCTACAAACATCAAAAAAGTATAGATTCTGGAACCAGACTACCTCTTTTTAAATAATGGCTGTTTTATTTATTGTTTTTGCAACACTGACCAAGTAAGTGAATTATTCTCTGTGTGTCAGTTTTCTCATTTGTAAAATGGGGATAATCAAGCATAATAAAAGAAGTTTGCTCTGTGGACTAAAAGAGACTGACAGTTGTGTGTGTTTGTTATTAATATCATTTTGTTTATTTTTTTATGTCCTTAGTTTGTTGCATGGCATTTGTCTTGTGTTGGGAATATAGCCAATGGGCCTTATATTCCAGTGGAAGATTCTGGTTATAGAAAAGCAAAGAAATTAGTAGATACTATACTTTAAGGTTGTGATAAGTGCTACATAGGCAACGAAAGAAGGTGACAGGAAGGAAGTGATTATGGACGAGATCCAGTAATACCTACAGAAGACAAGGCAACAGAGACAACAAGCAGGGCCCAGAAAGGTCATTCTGTCGAAAAGCATGAAATAAACAAGCATTCAGAATTAATAGGAGAGAGGAGAGAGAGAAAGAGAGAGAATCCAAGAGAACTGCTTGAGTTTCCAAGAGAGCCAAACAGGGTGAGCAGCCCCAAATAAATACATTTTAAATAAGATTGATTCTGGGACCAAATAAGCTTCAAAATAATTATTTCTCCTGGGAATGCATCATTATGGGTCACAAATGAATTCATCTTTTTGTTTTTCAGTACCAAATGTCTTTGACAGATGGATTAGTCCTCCTTTTTGCCTCACGTCTTTCACCTGATCCCATCACCTCCTGTTGAATTGAAATTAAGCGCCATTTATTTGGAAAAACCTATTAACTCTCTGCTTGTGTCTGGCTTACTTTGCATTCAGCCTGGCTGGCTTCGCCTTTGTAGGGTGTGAGCCATCATGTATCTCTGCTGTCTCTATTAGTGTCCCTTTTATTGATGCAGCCAAGGCAGTGAGGCTCACTGAATATTCCAGCTGCCTTTGTGCACTTCCCAGTTCCCATGAGTAGGCAGGATATGGAAACTGTACATCACTGCTGAGTTGCAGCAAGGGCTCTCACTCGGGGTGGTTAGTCTCCTGATGGTGCTGAGCAAAATGGCGGAACTTCCTTTTACTTGGCCCTGTAGTGGCCTGTGGAGTGGAACTGCTCCCTGGCTTCATGGGTCTCTAACTTGCTGGCTTCTCAAGGGCCTCATGACTGGTTCTTGTATTTTGTAGGTAATTGAAAACCTCTTAACATATGAATTATTTAGTCCTGGGTAGATCTGCTCCTAAATCTTTTTTCCTGTTATATAAAGATAAATTTTCCCCTTTCTAAAATAACTTCCTGCCCTGGTGACTTTGACCTCTGGTTTTGTTTTGTTGAATATATTTGCCATTCTCTGAAGTTGTCTTTCTTTTACATTTATGTATAATTTATGTCCCCTCATCTCTTTATACTTTACTGTGTCCTCAAGGACTAGAGCAGCAGCTGGCAAAAAGAAGGTGCCTGATAAAAATGGTAGCAAGCGAATTGCCAAAGTTAAATGAAGAAGATATAGAAATTCTAAACACCCCAATTACAATGAGTGAAATTGAAAATGTAATGAAAAATTTATCAACAAAGAAAAGCGCAGGTCTTGATGGCTTCACTGCTGAATTCTGCAAGACATTTAAAGAAGAACTATCACCATTACTCTTTAAACTCATCAAGGAAATTGAAAGGGAAGCAAGGCTTCCAAATTCATTCCTGGAAGCAAGTGTTACTTTGATTCCAAAACCAGGGAAAGACCCAACCCAAAAAGAGAACTACAGGCCAATCTCCCTAATGAACATAGATGCAAAAATCCTCAACAAGATTCTGGCAAACAGAATACAGAGTGTCATCAAGAAGATCATACACCCTGACCAAGTTGGATTTATCCCAGGGATGCAAAGATGGTTCAACATTCATAAATCAATAAATGTAATACACTATATTAACAGAGCCAAGGACAAAAACCATATGATCATCTCAATAGATGCAGAAAAGGCATTCCACAAAATCCAACACTGAGTCATGATAAAAATGCTGCAGAAAATTGGAATAGAAGGTTTTTATCTCAACCTCATTAAGGCTATCTATGAAAAACCAACAGCCAACATCATACTAAATGGTCAAAAACTGAAAACTTTCACGCTAAAATCAGGAATAAGACAAGGATGCCCACTGTCACCACTCCTGTTCAATATAGTTCTGGAAACATTAGCCACAGCAGTTAGAAAAGAGAAACAAATAAAAGGAATAAAGATAGGAAAGGAAGAAGTGAAACTGTCATTATTTGCGGATGATATGATACTTTACCTAGAAGACCCCAAAAAACTCTGCCAAAAGACTTCTAAACCTAATTGACAGATTCAGTAGAGTAGCTGGATATAAGGTCAACACTCAAAAAACAAGCCTTCTTATACACAAATAGCAGACTCACTGAGAGGGAAATTGGGGAAATAATTCCTTTTACAATAGCATCTAAAAAAATGAAATATCTAGGAATCAACCTCACAAAGGAAGCAAAAGACCTCTACAATGAAAACTATAGCACTCTGAAGGAGGTCGAGGAGGATATAGGAAAATGGAAAGACATCCCTTGTTCCTGGGTAGGAAGAACCAATATAGTGAAAATGGCCATAATTCCAAAACTACTATGTAGATATGTAGATTTGATGCAATGCTGATTGAAATTCCAACAATATACTTCACAGAACTAGACAAAACAATCCAAAAATTCATTTGAAACCAGAAGAGACCTAGAATAGCAAAAGCAATTCTAGGCAACAGAGACATGGCTGGGGGTATCACAATCCCCAACTGGAAACTATACTACAAAGCTACTGTGATAAAAACAGTATGATACTGGCAAAGAAACAGACCTGAGGATCAGAGGAATAGATTAGAAGATGCAGAAACAACTCCACACACACTCAGCCACCTCATCTTTGACAAAGGAGCCAACCACCCTCATTGGTGGAAAGATAGCCTTTTTAATAAATGGTGTTGGAAAAACTGTATTTCAACTTGCCAAAGA